TTTTGCATAAAACTTCGATCAGTCAGTTAAGTGTCATACGTCATACACACTTGGATTAGTTGGTTAAATGCCATACGTCATACACACTTCGATTAGTCAGTTAAGTGTCATACGTCATACACACTTTGATTAGTCAGTTAAGTGTCATACGTCATACACACTTTGATTAGTCAGTTAAGTGTCATACGTCATACACACTTTGATTAGTCAGTTAAGTGTCATACGTCATACACACTTCGATTAGTCAGTTAAGTGTCATACGTCATACACACTTTAATTAGTCAGTTAAGTGTCATACGTCATACACACTTCGATTAGTCAGTTAAGTGTCATACGTCATACACACTTCGATTAGTCAGTTAAGTGTCATACGTCATACACACTTCGATTAGTCAGTTAAATGCCATACGTCATACACACTTCGATTAGTCAGTTAAGTGTCATACGTCATACACACTTCGATTAATCAGTTGAATGTCATAGGTCATACACCATTGGGAGATCATGTCTCTTCCGATTCATGATTGACGAGGCCGAAGATTTTGCCATTTATTTTTGCGGTAGACTGGTTGACAACCAAGGATATAAGAACGTGTCTGTCCTGCTATTCAACCCCTAGCTGGATGGGGAAAAGATGGAGCCAAACATTTTCAAAGGTCATTTGCGCATAAGTGAATGTCACGAACCCGACTGAAATTCGAAGCCGTCTCTCTGACTTCTCATATCCATGACACCACAATACACATACCTTCACTAAAGCATCCTCAAGTTACGGCATTTGTCAAAATCCAAAAATATTGACTTTTTTCATCATTATCTAAAATAATACCTTATTCATAATATAAATGCCGTGTCAAATCGATGCCTGGCTTAATAAAGAGTTTGCTTTTATTTACAAATGTGAAATTTAAAAGTGTGCTGAAAACCCAAAATCTCTCCAAGTGTTGAAATTCCCCTTTGTTGAGAATCATTGATATATTCGGTCATTTCCAGAGATCCAACGAATAGAGCTCATTAATTCATGCGAAGTATCGCTACCAAAATGATTGTCCACAATCAGATAATTGATTAAATCAGTTTGCTTCTCTTTTCCTTTAGATAATTCGACACTGTGAATCCCGTGGGGTTTTGACCATTCGCCTACTTCATTATCAGAATGATTACGGCCAGACGTTTGACGGTGACTGTTGTGACCATAGTCCCTCGCTGAAAGTTTTTCAACCCCAAAACTGTGGTGTACAATGTGATTACGTTCTAAGATTACTCATTACCGGTTTGGGCAGGTAAGTAGAAGTTCATTACAATTCAAGCTTATCGTATCACTCTGTTAAATGATACCCTTCACAGGAGTATATTTTCTTTACTATTGTTCTCCGAATAAAAGGCGCAAGAGCCGCTGAAGGTAAAGGATTACTAAATGAGATTGTTGTAACAGGGAGAGAATAAGATGTGAATATTATGATGTTATAGTAGGATAGATAACGGTTGACCCTAGACTTGATTGTAATGATCGGTCGAATAGCTCCTTGGGAGTCTGTCCCACAATGCAACAGTTCTGAGGAAAAAGCTGAAAATTTCTCCTTACCAATGAAATACGAAGAGAAGGAGCTGACTTAGTGTTGTGTGGCATGGCGCATTCTAGCTGTGACGGTCTGGACGGAAGGGACCAAGAAATGTCGTTCACGCGAACATTTGCCATAAAAATAGCAACAGAGTAGTGAGATGCGTAATGAGAAAGTGGATGTACGGTGGAAAAGAGTTGATTATCCTGAAGGACTCACAAACGCCTTTGCACTTGGCCGATGCTGGAACTGGGGGTTTGGCAGTTCCAGCCAAGATACGGTAGCAATAGTTGATTTTCTAGTCTGATATGGCTCTTATAAATATAGAACATAGTAGAACGAGCAAGGCACTTTCTGGAAAGTTATAGGAAACCAATCGTTTATATATCGATCGGCACTTCTTCCAAAGATCATAGTATCTGTGATGCACTTCATCTAGGATCAAAAGGTGACTACCCGGCACTTCGGCCAGAGCGCATGGTCTTTAGCGTTTAGACTGAGATCATTAGTTACCTGTTCGCTTTCCTCTTTATTAGTAAAGTACTGAGCTGTTACGTGACATCTGTCCTTCTTTACGGCAGTAAATGTTGGACGATTTCCTCAAAGGTGGAAAAGAGACTCTAGACAACGGAGATGTGGTTCTACAGAAGGATGCTAAGGATATCATGGACCGAACGTGTGGGCAACGATGAGATTTTGGAGAGGATGCAAACAAGGAGGAAGCTTATACTTAACATCAGGAAGAGGCAGATGAAATTTCTGGGACAAGTAAATGAAAAAGAAGGGCTTGGTGAATCTGATACTCACTAGGCGAATAGAGAAAAGCGAGAGAAGGAAAAGCAACGCGTGACAAACCAAGCGGGCTTAAGCAAGTGAATGACAGAATAGGGTCTAGAAGAAGTAGCAAAGGGATAAAACTTATTGAGAGCTACAAGGGATAGGAAGAGGTGGAGAGCCATGATCGCTAACGTTCTGAAGGGACACGGCACATAAAAGAAGACGATTGTCCCTAAAATATTTCGTACATTGGGAATTGTCTCGAAGACTTTCGTAGAAAGAAAGAAACGGTTAAATATTTTTATTTATTTTTCCATGTTACTGTGTAGGTTTGTATATTTATATTTATTTCTATATGTGTATATATATGCATATACGTGTATATGTGTATATGTATGTATGTATATGTGTGTATATAGTTATATATATATATGTGTGTGTGCATATGTATATTTATATATGTTTCTATTTGTAGTGATGAATGTGTATACACATACGTATGTATTTTATATTCTTATATATTTGTACATGTGTATATGTACTCATGCGTACGTAAGTATATATGAGATATTTATATATATTTGTGCGTTTATGTGTTTTCTTTTTTATATATTAAATGTTTCTATTTTATTTTAATTGTTGCATTTTGCCTGCACATTTGAATTTGGTGTTTTCTATGTGTGTGTATGCGTATATATTTATTTTTCTATCCATTTCTATATATTTTAATGTCTTTTTCTTTGTGTTGTTCATTGACGAATATTTGTTTTTCTATTCTACCCCTTTTAAATTTTATCTATTGAACTCTTATTATCTATATATCTTTGGCCCATGTAAGTAATATTTTAATAGTCTGTTTGAAGTCGTTTACTAACACTTTCAAATTTGAATATTTGTACGTTTGTATATGTATATGTCTTTATTAATGTATGTGTGTATGATCGCTTATGTATGCCTTTCATTGTATATTTCAATATATATGTTGTCTGTTTTGTTTTTTTAAGGGTCGTGGACATCTATTTTCTGTTTCGTTCGTGTTTTGGGGTGTTTATATATCTAAATATGTCTACGTGTCTGTGTCTTATAATCTGATTGTGTATGTATTGTCTTTTGCAAGATTTCACTTTCCCCTGCCCATATCACCACTTCAAATGTATCTAAGTTGTAACGGAGCTTTACATCCACATTATATTTTAACGTTTATTCTGAGTTTTTGACCTTTCAATTAAAACAAAATAAATAATAAAATATATGTATTTTTTTCCTCAGTTTTTCTTTAAATAATTTTATAATATTCTAAACTTAATACTGATTTAAAATTGGTAATTTTCAATTTTATAGTAAAATTTAATATTAATTAGAATGAATTCTATTTTAGTCAAACCCTAACATTAGGGCATTAATTATTATAACCAAGGTTCATTGTCAAGTTTTTTTGAATTCTCATATACTTGTATTTTGATTGGTCATTGCAGCTTATGTAACAGCGGTTTCCCCTAGCGAAGGGTGTTTGATTGATTTAAACCTTTTAAAAGCCTTTATTCTACATTCAACACCATCCCTTGATAAGAAACCAGAAGCGTTGAAACAAAATGGCTATTTTTGTAGTGATTTTATAACATATTTATGTTATAATTTTCGAATAAATTATATTTGCTCTACTCTGTATTGAGCACTCTTTTAAGAATAGCCTTTTGTGTTATTGGAATTTATTCCGTATACACCAATCTTATACTTGGATATATATAGACATTGAAGTCAACACTCGAAGGCGACTGATGATTGCGTCTAGCATGAAACAGTCTGTCGCCTTTGAGTGTTGACTTCAATGTTCACTTTTATATTTACATACGCTCTATCTTTGATATTGAGCACTTTATCCCATAAATATAGAATACCTTAAAACTATATATATATATATATATATATATATATATATTATAAATTAACTGATTTAAAATATGGTTATTTTCGCTACACAGTTCAACCATGTTTCAAAAATAGAAGCTAAAACCCTAATTTTTTTTTTTTTTGCAAATAAATTAAAAGCATTAGTTCCATTTCATCTTCAAGCGTTCTTTTTTTTTATTTATATATATATATATATATATATATATATATATATATATATATATATATATTGCCAGGGTGACAATGAAGTCACTATACAGTTACTTACAATAACAACTAAGACAAAGCAATTAATCAACAGTCCAAAAATTTATTATTGAAAAATTTCTCGTTTATTCTGGTTTATAACAATAAAATGCTGTTAAATAAAATTAATTACCTATGCTGTTCGAACTGCAAGCCCCCTGCTTAAATACTTTGCTTTTTTTATCATAAGTAACTGTATAGTGACTTTATTGCTTCCCTGTATATATATGTGTGTGTGTGTGTATGTGTTTAAAACTAGTCACATAGTCAAAAACTTTTTTCCCACTTTTGTTACACATCTTTCTCCCATATATATATATATATATATATATATATATATATATATATATATATATATATATAAAAGAGAGAGGATATTATGTGCTAATTGTTGATATCTAAAATCATTAGGCTTTTTTGTATAATAAATGTATATATTTGAATGTATTAATAAAGGAACTGAATAAAAGATAATAAAAATCATTTTCTATTCAATTTCTTTATTTATACGTTGAAAGAAAGAAAGAAAGAAAGAAAGAAAGAAATGTGTACTATTGTGACATAAAACATCTGAGACACACTGGGAACGGAGTCAGTTGAGCAACAGTTATCGAACCCTGTCCTATTTGCAATGCTTGATAGCTGTCCATACAAACAAGAAGAATCTAATTTGACGTTAATGTATTTGGATCTTTATGCATATATGCATTTTAACACATTTATGCATGTGTGTGTGCGTGTGTGTTTGTTTACCAGGTCCTCTATGCGTCTCTGTGTGCACTTATCGATGCGTCTATTCTATTTCGTCAACTATTTGCCAAGTCTCTTCTACAAACAGCGACGTACGCGGCAAAGAAGAAATGTCAATACCAGCAAAATTCAAGCCGTCTCTGGCTCACACAACAGTTCAACTCTTTTGTACGGCTTTCTCAGGCAGCGCACATTAAACTGTAACCGATAATTGATCCGTCTTGGGCATCGATTCACGACAGACTTACGTCACACTCTTACGTCATCATTACGTAATCGTTAAACGGACATTTTACGTATCCATTCTCTATAGAAAGGCGCGAAATCTTGATACATTCACTGAAGGCCACTGTTTCGCATCTTCTTTTATGCGCCGTGTCCCTTCAGAACATTGGCGATCATGGCTCTCCATGATTTCCTATCCTTTGTACCTCTTATTAGTTTTTCTTTTTGTTATCTCTCCTAAAGCTTCTTCTGTCTCCAATTAACTCAAGCTAGGTTATGCTTAGTTGTCATCTGTCCACCTTGCCTTCAATATGTCCTGTGAGTATCACATTTTCCAAGCCCTCTGTCCTCATTATATGCCCTAGAAATTTTAACTGTCTCTTTCTAATTTTATGTATAAGTATTCTTTTTGCTTCCATTTTCTCTAAAACTCCGTTATTGCTCACAAATTCGGTTCATGGCATTCTCAGCATCCTTCTGAAGAACCACATTTCTGTTGCTTCAAGTCTCTTCATCAGCTGTGATGAGATTGCTCAGCATCCACTGTCATATAGGAGGATTGATATTACGTAAAAGTTCCTCTTAATGAATATACCGACCCGCGTGCCAACCATAGTGCAATGATTGACAAGGTCATCTCACATATCAATTTGCTAACGTTTTGAGTTTGATCCTTACTGTTTCCCACTAATGTGTCTCAGATTAAGTTACGCTCATTGTAGCTTATTTATTGAATTATTATTATTATTAGTAGTAGTAGTAGAAGTAGTTGTAGTAGTATGTCCTATTGTCGGGTTGACTCCTCCTAATTTTCGAAACTGCTCCTAGGGGACGCTCTCTGGACTATAAATACTCTGCGATATTTTTTCTCATTCTCTTACTTTTTCCGCTTGCACGACAACATGTATACCTCCCGCGGAAAACGCTTTCTCTTTTGGGAAATGCATGGACAATGCACTCACACACACACACACACACACGTAGGTACGCAAATTCACTCACTACACATACTGTGGACCAAAAGGTTTTTCTTACACACATCGTTGTCTTTTTGTCACTTGTAACCTTTCTTATTGAAACACCATTTGTTTGTACATATGTATTGGTCCTGGTCGTTTCTTTCTATTTTTTACGTGGATTCATATCACCAGTCCACTATTTTGTTGTGGGATATTTCAGGAGACACGTGTTTCTTTCTCAACTCAAACACCGACATTACTAACGCCCGCAACACGTTGGAAAATGCATACACCGGCCAGCAACACTATACACTATCCGGTGGAGTGGAGCCTCACTAAGCTATATATTACTGCTTTGGTTTCTGGAGCAAGTAGATTTTTTAACAGGGCGACGCAGGTTCCATCCCTGCCGGATAGCACCTTTTTTATTGAGATTTCTCGAACGTGTCGGCTCATAGCCGCAATACAAAGTATTTAAACTAAAAATAATTATAGGGCGTCTATTTCAAATGCGAATTATATCTATTGCCTAACCGATTTTGAATAGAGATTTGTCCTTCTACAAAAACTCGTTGCCGACCTGCTATTTACCTCAAGCTTGGAAAGAAGAGATAAATTCTTAGCTTTTCAAGAGATTTTGTGCAAAAAAGGGAAAACAACGGCTGGGATTTGAAATCGAATATGAAAACCCTACTTTTCCTGCCGATAACCGCAATCCACTTTATTGGATTAAGTAATGATTTAATTCTTTCCGAAGCAAATGATTGAAATTTTAAATCCAAATAAAAATAACAGTTCTTTTTCTTTAATATCGACTATCAAAGAAAATAAGTGGCTAGACGCTCCATTTTTATTTTTATTTTAAACAGAATGTATTATGTCTGCCAGCCTGAAAATTCGAGAAATCTGAATGAATAAAATGTGCTTTCTTTCAAATATGAATATCCACTATAATAATATTTGGAGTCATGAAAATATCGGAGTAAAAATAAAATTCATTAATTGTTTAGAAATATATATATATATATATATATATATATATATATATATATATATTTAAAAGATATTTTTGTAGGTACAAAATTTAATGATCGAAATAAAAGTGTAAAATTTAATATTACAAGACATATTAAAACAATATTAAATAATAAAAAAAAACTCAACAACAAGGGGGGAAGCAACTGGTTTCGCTCCTGCTCATCAAACTTCCACGGGAGATTCAAAATTAAAACAGAGAAATGTACAATAAGAATAGGTGAAAAAAAATATATATATATAAGGATAGAAAGAAAAAAAGAGAGATAGATATAAAATATCGGTTAAATGAACGGGGGCGTCTACTCAAATATGCGTATCCACTAAAAATAACGTTTAAAGTATAATATATATATTTATATATATATATTCTCTCTCTCTCTCTCTCTCTCTATATATATATATATATATATATATATATATATATATATATATATATATATACATATATATATATATATATATATATATATATGTTAGTGAAAAAATTTAGAAAAGAAAAAGTTTTCGTGTAAGGGGTTTCGTCTTTTAGGACATCTTTGGACAAAACACGTCACACGAAAACTTTTTACAATAAAAGCGATGCATATAAAAATGTATATAACGTTTTCCGAGATATAAATATATATATATATATATATATATATATATATATATGTGTGTGTGTGTGTGTGTGTGTGTGTGTGTGTGTGTGTGTGTGTGTGTGTGAAAAGTGTATATAAATATAAATAAAATATATATATGTCTAATTATTTATATATTATATGCGCGGTACTTATTAGAAAGCGCTCAATATCAGAGATAGAGCTAACATATTTGGTTGGATAGATGTGAGTTTGTCTATCTATCCAACAAAAAATATATATATATATATATATATATATATATATATATATATATAATTAAAAGTAAATGCTACGAGATGTGAATTTTACTTCTCTGTTCTTTCTTCCATTTGAATATATATATATATATATATATATATATATATATATATATATATATGCGCAGTATTTATTGGAAAGTGCCCAATTTCAGTGATAGAGCTAACACATTCATCATGCTATAATTATGGATAAGTGTTCAATATCAAAAAGCATAGAGTGTCGCCGGTCGGTGTTGACTTCGGTGTCAATTATTTGAGAAATCTTATTAGCGACAATTCAAATAATCGTATCCCCTATGAATAACGTTTATATTTCTAAAAATATGTCGTATCAATAAGTAAATAATCGATTATTCCTTTTCAAATTGCTTTCTTTACATTTCGGATACAAGAATTTAATGGGAAATATGTGCTTAAAGACACCTTTGCTTCCTCAGGACACTCTTCGTAGCCGATTTGGTTAAAACACATCGGTTGTAACTATATATATATATATATATAGTTACAACCGATGTGCTGGAAGAATTTAGAGGACGCTATTTTTATACTGTTAACTGAAATTACGTCAATTACTGTCACTATGAAAATAGCGTTCCCTAAATTCTTCCAGTTGCTAAGGACATTTTGTTTTATTATTATTAGTTACTTTGTTTAATAAATTCATTTCGTTTTTGCCTTGAAAAAGTTCACATCGGACGAAACGCGTCGGCAAATATTACAGTTTTCCTATTGTCTTTTACATTTATAAATATTGTCTTTTTCTACAGGTTAACTCTAAGAAATTTTTCATAAGTACATATATAAATGGAAATAACATCATGTATTTGATTGTATACATACATATGCACTTGCGCGCGCACACATACAGACACATATATATTTACAAATCTTTATGTATCTTTATGTACAAATGTATATATATATATATATATATATATATATATATATATATATATATATGCTTTATGACCATACATCTGTATGCTATATTATCTCAGTATGTCTATAATCAAAGATTCGTGTGTGTTTGTTTGTAAATGTACCCGCTGTTACATATAAATATAGACGTAGACATGCGTGTTTTCCCTAAGCCCATAGCGAAAACGACGCATGAACCACCCCGACCCAGACCGACTCTATTCAAAGAGTCTGGGTGTTGCCCGTCAGTTCCGAACGGATTTACTCAAGAATAAATGGAATGGTGCGACGGAGGGTGTCGTCTATCTGCGGGCAAAAAAAAACATTCAATTATGTAGAGATTTACGTAACTTTCGCAGACAAATTGATCGTTCTTCATCTCGAGAACAATGAAAATTGTCAGACGGGTCATGGTAACCCTCACCAAATACGGATTCCACATTCTGAAACATAAGAATGTGTTCTTCGCACTATCTTTTAAGTTTCAAGCTTTATTTAATTTGATCGGAGACACGGACCAGCGCCAGTAGACTTGCTTTTTCTTTCTTTCTTTCTTTCTTTCTTTCTTTCTTTCTTTACCAGTATAATTGGAAGAAACGGATGACAAAGGATTGTAGATATATACGAAAATATGATACAGATATTAAAAGACCCATATGTATATATAGATAAATAAATAGATAAAAACTGACTGAGATAGATACATACATAGATAAAAGCAATGTGAGATAGATAGATAGATAGATAGATAGATAGATAGATAGATAGATACGACCAGACAAATACATATTCTTATTCAGAAAGATTGATAGATATGAACAGATAGATAGATAGATAGATAGATAGATAGATAGATAAAAGCAGACTGAGATAGATAGATAGATAGATAGATAGATAGATAGAGATAGATAGATAAAAGCAGACTGAGATAGATAGATAGATAGATAGATAGATAAAAGCAGACTGAGATAGATAGATAGATAGATAGATAAAAGCAGACTGAGATAGATAGATAGATAGATAGATAGATAGATAGATAGATAAAAGCAGACTGAGATAGATAGATAGATAGATAGATAAAAGCAGACTGAGATAGATAGATAGATAGATAGATAGATAAAAGCAGACTGAAATAGATAGATAGATAGATAGATAAAAGCAGACATAGATAGACAGATAGATAGATAGATAGATAAAAGCAGACTGAAATAGATAGATAGATAGATAGATAAAAGCAGACATAGATAGACAGATAGATAGATAGATAGATAAAAGTAGACTGAGATAGATAGATAGATAGATAAAAGCAGACTGAGATAGATAGATAGATAGATAGATAGATAGATAGATAGATAGATAAAAGCAGACTGAGATAGATAGATAGATAGATAGATAAAAGCAGACTGAGATAGATAGATAGATAGATAGATAAAAGCAGACTGAGATAGATAGATAGATAGATAAAAGCAGACTGAGATAGATAGATAGATAGATAGATAGATAGATATGAACAAGATTAGAGAGCGAGAGAAGGAAAGGGAGAAGCGAAGAAACTGAGAGAGATATGAACAGAGCTCGATCGACAGATTTGACCTGTTTGTAAACCGAGGTAAATATGAAAGAAATGAGAACGATATTTTAGTGAAAGTAAACCTAAGGAGGTAGATATGAACAGAAAAACTGATATATATATGTATTCATAATATATATACTGGGTGCAATTGATAAATTGTCGTCTAAATTACGCAAAACTGAAAATAACACTGGCATCTCAACTATGGCCAACTGACGACTTAAGAGTCTCCTGCAATTCTTCTGGACGGTCTCCTTATTTAAGTTGGTGAATGCTGCCATCATCCTTGCCTTCAGTTCATTTTTGGTGTAACAAGGAATTTTGTTGGTCTCTCGCTTAACGGCACCCCACACATAATAATCAATGGGGTTGCTGTCTGGGGAGTTAGGTGGCCAGATGTAAGGTGTGATGCAGTCGGAGAGTTTGTCTGACAGCCATGACTGAGTTCTCCTGCTTTTGTGGCATGGTGTAGAGTCATATTGCCAGACATAAGGTCTTTCCGCAGCCACTCTATGCACCCAGGGTAACACTACCTCATCAAGGCACTTGATGTAGGCCTCCGTGTTGAGTCTGAGACCCCATCAATCAGAAATCCAATACGGAAGTTAACTACGAACTCATCATAGGCCCGACGTCTGATGGGTTAATCGAGGTCGCTCTCCGAGCATGTTAAAAATTTAGGCTCTTTTTCCCCACCGGTCCCCGTTGAGAGTATTGCTACATTTTAAATAATAAAATGACCGTCTCCTCTCCAGTTGAGCACCACCACCTGAAGAAGCACATATAGTGTCGAAACATGATCGCATTTATGTAGCGGTTTATAACATTTTTTGTTATAATTGTTTATAAATATTATTATTATTATTATTAAGCTCTACTCTGTCTTGGATACACACACACACACACAAATATACATACATATATATATATATATATATATATTGTGTATATTTATTTAATGAAACATGCATCAATATATATATATATATATATATATATATATATATTCTCCCATCGAGTTCGACATATGAGTTTCTGACGACCACGAACTACTTATCTGCATGCCTATGATGGGCATGACTTTTGCGACCGGCTCGAGAATTGCACAAAAAAAACACAAACAGTACAGGGGAATGTATTGTATCCAAGTGCAGCAGGGACACTGTTAGATGTCTTATTTTGCTTTCTCCTTTCATGTAGTCAACTGATGCTTACTTCTCAGTGCAGCTATATCAATGTTGTATTTCTTTAGCTCCAATGCAAACAGTGCTGTTTTTCTTTCTGGTGCTGAGTTGTTGTCCTGGAGAGTTTGTATATTCCAATTCCCAAGATGAAGTTGATGTTGTTTTGTAGAGTTTTTCGCAGTAACCGGATACGTGTGGAACTGATTAGATGTAGTTGTCAGAAAACCAACACAATGATTTGTTTCAAGTGGTGAAGGCTTGTGTCGGACCATCCGCACTTTTTGGATCTGTCGATAAAAAAAGTAACGGTGCAAAAGACTTGCCACGGAAACTCCGAATGACAGTTCTCCTGTGTTATTATCCCGGAGCTTAACCTTTCCGGATCACAGTCAATATCATCCAGTGCACGCCTCTCGACAGACACATGCAATATAATGACTGGGTTAAGCTGTCATGAATTTTCCTTCTCATCTGAAGTTTTTTTTTTAACGTGAAACCAACACTAAAGGATTGCTAACCAAAGCTCAGATAGACTCCTTTCACCCTCATCAAGAGCAGTTAGCCCGCGCCAGTTCTTAATATACAAATGAAGTGAAATAATTTTGAGTAGTCATGGATACATACGGATTTAATAATCTGAGATAAATGACTTGATTGAAATTTATATTAAATATCTGAAATCGATATATTGATGTTGAAACTTGACTAATGCATGGAATAATAATGCAACACAAAATGTACTTAGAACAAAATATATTGAAACAAGAAAGTGTACACAATATTTAGATATAGTCTTTTGTATTTTCCTGGTAAGACCGTTCCTGGAGAATGTGTTGACTGAGTCACAGTCGGGCAGAGTTTCTGGTTGAATCTCTTGATTCCTGTATTTATCTATCCACCCACGAGGATAAAATGTGGCACAAGGCCGGTTTAAAGTGGGTATCTCCGAGCCCGTAGGCTCGGTCAAAAATATGGCCTTTCTGAACCCGCCTAGACGGGTTCAAGGCCTGTCTACCACCCCGGACGAAACCCTGCCTCTCGGCAAAGCCTCTTCCGGGTCCCTCACTGCAAAATGCAGAGAGTTCGACTGCGAGTGAATCTCTTGATTCCCCCCCCTCTCTTCCCGGTACCAAACATATTTATATGGTCGGTACTCCACTATGCAAATTAGGTGGATCCTACCACAACAATTGATTTTGTTACATAATAAGAAAATTAACTATGAAGTGAATGATGCATCGACACCAATATGTAGGAGAGTTCTCTGAAAAAGTTCATAGGCTGACCAAGATATTTTCAAGGAATGTAAACAAACGAAGTTTATTTTTCAACATAGTCCCCCTTGCGGTCCACACACTTCTCCCACCGATCCTCCAGTGCTCAGATCGCATTGGTAAAGAATTTTTCATCCTGTTGGTAAAAAACAAAACATGAACAGCGATACTGGTTCCGAGCCAAGTGTTTTTTTTTTTCATGTTGGGGAATAGATGATAGTCATATGGGGCTGAATCAGCGGAGTAGGGAGTGTGATCAACCACTTCAAAGCCACGGTCACGTATAACAGCCATTGAAACCAAGAACATGTATGCTGGAGCGTTGTCATGATAAAACATGACGCCTTTCGTCAGTTTTCGTGGATCCCTGGCCTTGATAGTCTTTCGTAATTTACTCAGAACGTCGTCATAGTACTGTCCGTTGGTGTGGCCCCTTTTGAAGATACTCAATAAACATAATGCCTTTTGTATCCTAAAAAGCTGAGGTCGACACAGATCAACTCATCTAAGAAAAAAAATTCTTAATGCCATTAAATACAATTCAAACCAATGGTATTTCCTGTCGTTAATCACATACAATAGATAGATAGATAGATAGATAGATAGAATAGCGAAGATAGATATGAACTTAACAGGCTGGGGAAAAAGATGAATACATCGATCGAAAAATAAGATGATAAACTGACTTAAATAGACATGAGACTCATATATATATATATATATATATATATATATATATATATATATATATATATATATGATTAATACAAATATGAAAAAAATTTTGTCACTTAATTGATTGATATTATCTTCAGCACCCCGACTTCAGATTTTCGTAAACGAACCTTTTTGTACTCGTTCGGTTTACTCGTCAAGAGGTTTCAGATAGATAGTCATCAATAGATAGATAGATAGATAGATAGATAGATAGATAGATAGATAGATAGATAGATATGGTATTACATAAGACCAGCAAGTAAAATAGAGCCGGCTTTGCATAAGACCGCTAAATAAAATGAAACTGCGTAAGATAAATAAATGAAATAAACTCAGCATTTCATCAGACCAATGATTAAAACAGACCCTGCATTACGAAGGACCCATAAATATAATGACATCTGTATACAATGACACCAAGAAATAAAACAGTCGCTATCGCATAAGATTAAGAAATAAAACAGACTTGGTTTTCGGTAAGACAATAAACAAAAAAGGATTACGCATTGCATAAAACCAATAAATGAGAACAAACCCAGCATCTATTATAAAACGCAGATTGTGTGTGTGTGTGTGTGTGTGTACGTTTATATATTGGATCGGATTTCCTACATTTTTTAACTGATTTCAATAATACTTCACAGGACTACGTAAAATTACCTTGCGGTGGTTCTGACAGCGCCAAAAATTGTAAAAACACAATTGTTTTTGCACGAAATCAATTTGAAAACACGATAAAATACGATTCTGTCGCCAGAATGAAAGAGGGACAACTCATATCGAGTTACACTTATTATAAAAACCCAAGTTGTTTGTGTGTGTTCGTTTATATATGGGATCGGATTTCCTACATTTTTCAACCGATTTCAACAAAACACTGTTTTTTTTTTTGGCAGGTAGTGTTTCTTATTGTCTTGCACACTTTTTTCTTTATTTTTACATTCAGAATGCTTTAAAAATTCCATTTACAAGACAATTGTTTATAATGAAATTCTATTCAATCGGTAGACTCATAACGATTGAAAACAATGTTTTTGTTTGAATTTGGGTTTGACCAATTCGTAAAAAAAAAAAAAAAAAAACTAATTAAGACATGCGTGTCCGTCAACAATAATCTTTGTCAATTTTATTTTTCAGTGTTTATGATGGTCGATACTTGATCTTACGGGCTCTACTGCTAGTAATAAATAAAAAGACACATTATTGCATAACACCCAGAAATAATATCGTCTCTTTATTTCATAATATCAATAAATAAAATTGATTCAGTATTGCATAAGACCAATAAGTAAAACCGACTTTATATTGCGTGTGAGCAATAAATAAAACCGACATGATATTGCATAAAACCAAGAAATGAAACAAACTCACTATTGCGTAAAATAAATAAATAAAGCAAACTCATCATTATATCAGATCAAATGTAAGCAAAACCAACATAATATAGAGAAATAGCAAATATTTTGTTGTTTGTTTTGGTACTGAAACAATTATGACAGAATTGCAGGAAAGCTGCTTTAAAACGTTTATGATCAATTTTAATCATCAAGAATATTTTTGAAGAATGTCAGAAATCATAAAAAATTATACCATTTCCCTCTGAAATATGCACACCACAATAAATAAATAAAAAAAAGGCTTAAAATATGGCACAGCAAAATGTTCCTTGATGGAAATATATTTATCAAAAACTTCATAACTTCGGTTTTATGAGAGAAACAACTGAAGATGATGTCTTCAGAGTAGAAGATACAGAATTCTTTCTGATTGAATCATTCTTCAAGAAGCTCACATTTTCAACTCATAAGACACGCACCAAGTTTGACTCCACCAAGTTTGACTGTAAATGAGAAATCTTTGATTTCCCTACGAAAAAGGTACATTGACAAGACTTGTGTTATATTTGTAACAGACAAGATATTTTAATTACTCATTTTACTTTGATCATTCAAACATGTTCATACCTTCTTTTGTTTTTTTAAGAGGTTGTGGAAAACATTAATTTTGAAACTGAATTATTGATTACAATGTGTTGCTGTGTGAAGACAATTTAATTTTAAATGAGTAAGAAAATATTTTTTTTGGCAAAGGTAATGACTTCTTCAGTTGTAAACCGTTTAAAAGTTGGCAACTTATTTAAAAATCTGTAAATGTCTCCACTTATATATATAAAAATTTTACTATCATTTAATGTGAGTGGACTCACGACAATAAACGAAAAGCGGGAATTATTCGCTCAGGATGATAATAATTATAACATTGGTGAATACTGTCTCCAAGAAACCAAAATCAAGTATTAACATTAGAGTCGACCCAACACAAGCTTTGGAAACAGTAAATCTTATGGAAATGGTTTTGTCCTCAATGCTAACTGGAAGAATAACATCACTAGACGTTGGATAAACAATCATAGTTTACACATAGTACAAGGACATTCAATAGGATTCCAACATTCCCCATAAGAGATTTGAAGAATTTGGAGAACCTGTAGAATTTTTGCGAGTTAACAAAGGATGGCGGTGGGGGTAGTAGTTTTATTAGTTATTTACAGACTTGCTGAAGATGAGAAATCACACTGATTTGCAGTGTGTCTTCAAGTCGAAACATCCTCATATGATGACATGATGTTCACTCTAAGCAAGGTGATAAAGCCACTAAGACTCAAGGGGTTACTGAGAGAACAACTAAAGAACCTTAAACTATTAATTTGCGTCCAGGTTCTTTAACAAATCTTATCTGTTCACAATGTAGGATATTTAAGAATAATAACAACAAAAACAATATCATTGGGAAACTGAATGAGATCGGCTAAGCTGCGTGTCTAGACGCGTCAAACTCGAGAAATTTTAAAATTCAGCTTTCTTTAAAGAAAATGGAAACAAGAAGAAATATTAAAAAGACAACATGGATCCGAGATTAGATTAAGATATTTTTTTAATGATTTCACTCCAAGCAATATATTGGTTGAGAAGATAATGTCTTGTCAACTATTAAAACTTGCCAATTTCTAATTTAAAACTTTGTAAAAACCTTCAACTGCTATAGAGATTTTATAATCTGGACATTTAATGTGAGCGCATTCATGAAAAAAGAAAAGCAGAAATTGATGTATGTTGTCTCCAAGAAACGAAAATCAAATATTAATATTGGAGTTAGATAACTCAAACTTTGGAAACAGTAAATATCAGTTGGAAGAATAACATCTGAAGACGTTGGACAAATAATCAGTTTACACATTGAAAAAACTACCAATAGGATTTCAACATTCCCTGTAAAAGATTTGAAGAGTCTGGAGGACCTGCAGCACTTTTGAAAGTTAACAAAGGATGGGGAGGTGGAGGTGATTTTATTAGTTATTTACAAACTTGCTGAAGATGAGAAATCACACTGATTTGCAGCGGGTCTTCAAGTCGAAACATCTCTCATGATTATATTATCTTGATGTCTCCACTAAAGCAGGATGTGACGCAAGGTCTTTTTTATGTGGGAGTGCCAATACGCATGCGTATGCGTATAGGCCAAGGACAAAAAAATGGCCTGAAATCACGACCACTGTCACGCTGGTATAGATATTACATCAACCCCAACTCCCTTATGGCAATAAAGAAGGTGTTCTCGCAGGATTGGAATGCTTGACACCGGGTGCTTTCTTCCATCCCAAATGAGGAGAGAACAGATACTACACTTTCATCCTGGCCATGATGATATTCAGATATGCTGACGAAGTCTTTTGTGTTTTTAAAAGGTTTTTGAAAATGTTAATTTTAAAAATTGAATGTGTATTTACAGTTTGTTGTGTAAATAAACATATTATTTTGATATTTGTTAGAATAAGGAAAATGATAAGCGGGATTTATGGAATTTCCACAGACCGGCTAATGGATAACTCAAACTTTGGAAAGAAGTTCTTATGGAAGTGATTTTGTCCTCAATACGCGTTGGAAGAATAACATCCGTAGACGTTGAACAAATAATCAGTTTAGACATTGGACAAGGACATTGGATGAACTATCAATAGGATTCCAACATTCCCCGTAAAAGATTTGAAAAGTTTGGAGGAACTGCAGCACTTTTGTGAATTGCCAAACGATGGGGAGGTTAGGAGGGTAAATAATTTTATTAGTTATTTACAGACTTACTGAAGATGAGAAATCACACTGATTTGCAGTGTGTCTTCAAGTCGAAACATCTCTCATGATTATATTTACCTGACCTCTCTACTAAAGCATGATGTGACATAAGGTCATTTTTTTATGTTGGGGTGTCAATACGCATGCGTACGCATATGGGCCAAGGACAAGAATTGCCCAGAAATTATGACCATTGCCACACTGTTATCGATATTATACCAACCCCAACTCTCTTATGGCAATGAAGAAGGTGTTGCTGCAGGGTTTGAATCCTTGGGAACAGATGCTTTCTTCCATCTCAAATGAGGAGAGAACACATACTACACGTTCATCCTGGCCATGATGATATTCAGATATGCTGATGCATTCTTTTGTGTTTTTAAAAGGTTGTTGAAAATGTTAATTTTGAAATTGAATGCTTATTTACAGTGTGTTGCTGTGTAAAGACATATTTTCTTGTGTAGTTATTATGGTAAAAAAAAAAATAATTTTAAATTAGTAGGAAAATATAGAATAACAATGGTTGCTTTGCTGGATAAAATTAGCATTGTTTCTATTTCTGCATTCTGAAACATAAAATTAAATATGGACTGCCACGAAATAAGTTGCTTGGTTGATTTTTAGCCGCATATCAAGCACTATTTAATCTAAATATTTTGAACACAATTTATTGCCCCAATTATGTATTTTGAATGCAACTGGATGCTTTCAACTGTAGATAAAATTTATTGTTGGTATTTTTTTATATATAAAAATATATTGCTGGTATTTTTACTATAAAAGTATTTTTATATGTATTTTTATACTTTCATTTGTTTGGGGGTTAACTAATTGTCCATATCTTGGTCCCTAACAGGTGCTACCACCCCATTTGCATTTTTAGTTCTGTTGCTTTCATATTATTTCTAGTACTTGTTTTTTTTCTTTAAAGTGCTATGCGTGATACACGCTAAGGTGATCATGTATCTTCCGATACATGACTGACGAGGCAGATTTTTCCAGCAGTAGGTTGCTATTTCTTTTTGCGGTTGACCAGTTGCCATCCAAGGCTATAGAACCTGGTCTGTCCTGCAATTTACCCATAGCTGGAGAAGAAGAAGAGGATTCATACCTTTCCCAAGGCTATTACCACATAGGTGAATCTAATGGATT